TGCGTTTCCAAACTTACTGGTAAGTGTTTTGTTGTTGCATTACTCTAATTTCTGCATCTACTAAGAGTGGGGGCAGATTCATCGTTTCTTTTTTGTAGTTAAAAGGTGCTATCTTTGCTAAAATTTTAGCATGGTAGCCCTGGCTGAGTTGTTCATGTAGCTGCCCCACTTAGTGGGATAAGGGCTTGTTGTTGTTGTTGTCATTAAAACGAGTGAACATTTTAGATATCTCTCGTCGATTGTTCAAAGTGATGTTGATATAGATGAGGATGTTAGTAGTAAAATTCAAGTTGGATGGTTGAAATGGATGTATATAGTGGACATATTGTGTGATAGAAAAGTACTTCTTAGACTTAAAGGAAATTTTGTTAAGATGGTGGTGAGACTCACAATGCTTTATGGCGCAGAATGTTGGCCTATAAAAGAGAAGCATAAAACTAAGTTAAATTTTGCTGAGATGAGAATGCTTAGGTGGATGAGTGGCTTGACTCGTAGAAACAAAATGTGAAACGAATGTATTTTTGAAAGGGTTGGTATAACTCCAATGGTAGACAAAATTAGAGAGAGCTGTCTTAGATGGTTTGGTCACATTTAATGTCGACTATTTGATGATCCTGTTAGGAGAATATATGATTTAGATTTGACTTATGTTAGGAAAGTTAGAGGTAGACCTAAAATGACTCGACATTTTGTATATAAAATAATCTTAATTTATTAGAATTAAATGAAAATATGACACTCAATGGGACACAATGGAGAAAAAGGTTTCATGTGGCCGACCCCACACAATGGGACACAATGGAGAAAAAGGTTTCATGTGGCGGACACCACATAGTGGGATAAAAGCTTGTTGTTGCTGTTTTTGTAGCCCAGGCTAAGTTTCTTGAACTTCGTAATTCAATATTTTAGGCATATTTCGGTCCTCAAACTACAAATCAAACTACAATGTAGTTACTTGAACAAATATCTGTGCACTTGATGCCTTATTTTCTTATTAAAATGTCATTTCTACCTGAATATTAACGAAGAATAAGTTTTATGAGCTATTGTTATGCGACAGGTAATTGCATAGGCTTCTGATTGGAAGAAGGGCTTCGTGCAACCTATTGAAGTTCGTTCCTTCTAAGTTTAGGTTTCATTAAGGATGGCTTCTGTTAGTGTGGCGCCATTATCAGGAATGAAAAATGCCAGTAGTAATACTTTTGGCATGGATAGATTGCCTGATGAGATAAATGACTTGAAGATAAGGGATGACAAGGTACCAAAAATTATACAATGTTGATCAGCTTATTTTTTTCTTGGCTTTTTTGGTGGATGTGGAGTATTACTCTAGTAATTCACTAGTTACCAGCAAGTACCAAGACTAACATGATGCATAACTCAGGATGTTGAAGCAACGGTTGTTGATGGAAATGGTACTGAAACTGGACATATAATTGTGACTACTATTGGCGGTAGGAATGGTCAGCCAAAGCAGGTAAAGCCTTTGTCCATTGTTGGTTATGACCGCTTAGTTAATTTTTCTTAGATATAATTATTTAATTGATGAGCCCAATTTGTTGGGATAAGGCAAATAATGGTGATGATGATTCTGGTGATTTGTTACTTGTTTACTAACCATCCATGATTTCTATAAGTTCTTTTTTGCATTCCATTATGTTCATAAACTGATACTCTTATTTTGTTACTCTTATTTTGCTATGGAAGACTATAAGCTATATGGCAGAGCGTATAGTGGGAAATGGATCCTTTGGAATAGTTTTTCAGGTTAGTTTACTTCTTTGGCTGTGTTATAAGTATATTTGGTGCTTCTTTTGTACTGTGTACAAGGGGAGAGACAGTAGTGAGAGAAGATGCACATTTTCTTTTCTCTCTCCTCTCTTTTGTATAGGTGCTCAGCAAGCACCGAAAAAAATATCTCATCTTTGTTGTCTTTGCTGCCCATAGGACCTGCTTAATCTCTGTTAACTTTCTTTCATATTTGCACAGGCAAAATGCTTGGAGACTGGTGAAACAGTTGCAATAAAGAAAGTTCTTCAGGACAAAAGGTATAAGAATCGTGAGCTGCAAACCATGCGTCTTCTTGACCACCCAAATGTTGTCTGTTTGAAGCACTGCTTCTTTTCAACGACTGAGAAGGATGAACTATATCTTAACCTGGTGCTTGAGTATGTACCGGAGACGGTTCATCGAGTAATCAAACACTATAACAAAATGAACCAAAGAATGCCCCTAATATATGTGAAGCTCTACACGTACCAGGTAAGAACCATTTTTTATTATTCTTAATTGGTAACCTTAGTTTTAGTTAGATTTTAATTGAATTTTTTTTTGCTGGATCTTAATTATTGTTGCTGACTGTAAAATAACACTCTTTTGAACAAAAGTGAATGAACTAAGTTTCTACTGAATTTGGATCTTGATTTTTGTATCTAAATAATATGTGAAAAACCTTGATGTGTTTAATTTCATAACTGTTCAGTTTATGAATCATTTATCTTCTATTTTAGTTATGGGCTGCAAAATTGTTATGAATTACTAGAAATGCATGCTATATGACATATTATTTTTTTTCTTTCATTGTGTGTGTTGACTGCAGCCATATTGAAGCACTTGCTTTGCTCCAAGTTCTTACCCACTCATCATTTTAACAGAATGCATGGGACCAAGCTGCTGCTTTTTTAGTGCATTTGTGCCTTGACATACATATTGCCATGTTTCTTCTAGTAGAATGTTCATTTTGAGTAATGACATCCTTTTCTGTCTACGAGTACAAAGTCATTCAGATTTAAAATTGATATAGATTGTATTTTTTTTCTAACTTTTTTGTGACATTTCTCTAAAAATTGTTTAATTAGCTTGCTTTTTCTGGGTTTGAATCTTTTACTTTTTGAGAAAGGGCTTTTGGTGGACGTTTAATTCATCCGCCTCAGGATTTTCACAGCTCCTGGCAGCATACTTACAATTCTATGTTGATAATTTTTTTTCAGATCTGTAGAGCATTAGCTTATATCCATGGCAGTATAGGTGTCTGCCATCGAGACATCAAACCACAAAATCTTCTGGTGCGTGCACTCTTGATCACTATATGTATGCTGTTTGTGGTGCATCATTGGAAGCTCGTCTTCAGTGAACCGAGCTTTTAATAATTGTTGAAATTGACTCTTATGAAAAAATGCATGAAAGTGTAGTACTTTGGTTTACCTTACATATCTGATTTCTGTAACAGGTCAATCCTCATACACACCAACTAAAATTATGTGACTTTGGAAGTGCTAAAGTGTTGGTACGTCTGATTGCCCTTGAGGAGATTTGTCTCTTTTATGTCGTCAACACTTAAAATGCTTGTTGATTTGATTCAAACAGGTGAAAGGAGAGCCAAATATATCATACATTTGTTCGAGATACTACCGAGCTCCGGAGCTGATTTTTGGTGCAACCGAGTACACCTCAGCAATTGATATCTGGTCTGCTGGTTGTGTTCTGGCTGAGCTTCTACTAGGGCAGGTGGACGTCATCATCCAACTTGAATATCTAGATTTTTGTCATTGTCATTTTCCTCTATAATTTTGCTGATCAGTGTTTTTCTATATTTGCAGCCCCTTTTCCCTGGAGAGAGTGGAGTAGACCAACTAGTTGAAATAATTAAGGTAACCGATACTTTGCTAATATTTCATATATTAAACTGATTTCGGGCAACCTGCTTAAGCACTATTTGATGTTCCATATTACATGTTGCTTTCAGATCCTGGGCACCCCAACTAGAGAAGAAATCAAATGCATGAACCCAAATTATACTGAATTCAAGTTTCCTCAGATCAAAGCTCATCCGTGGCACAAGGTATGCACGATACCTTTTGTTTCCTTTTTTTTATCCTTGAACATTGGCCTTTTATCAAACTATTCTGAATTGTTTCTTATTTTTGCAACCTTTCTAATGATTTAGATTTTCTACAAAAGAATGCCGCCTGAAGCTGTAGATCTTGTTTCTAGGCTTCTCCAATATTCTCCAAACCTTCGTTGCACAGCGGTGAGTAAATTCTGCTTGAAATTGTTACAAAATTATCAATGTTCCCATCAAACCAAGTATCATTTTTCAATGAGACAACGGTTGCTGCAGTTGGAAGCATTAATCCACCCTTTCTTTGATGAGCTTCGAGATCCAAACACCCGCTTGCCAAATGGAAGGTTCCTTCCACCTCTCTTCAACTCAAGCCACATGGTAATTGATCCATCCCATCCCATCATTAATTAATTATACCCCAACTGTTTGTTTTGGAGTAAATTTATGGCATTAACACACATGGTGGCGGGATGAGCAGAGTTGAAAGGAGTTCCCGTGGAGATGCTGCTGAAACTAATTCCGGAACACGCCAGAAAGCAGTGTCCTTTTCTAGGCTTGTAATGTATTTTGCTGGAAACGCGTTTGATATTTCCGGAGGGGAACGATAAAGTCTGCGGCATTAGCTGGCCATGTGAACTTCTTTTGATTTTTTTGTTTGATTTTCGGAGCTTTCCATCGCCATCGGTTCCTTTTATTGTAAAAAGCATATTTAGAAGGTCTGCTGGCCTTTAAAAATCTTAAATTTCTTATCTAACTCCTGCTTTCCTTCTCTATCCGTTCTATTACAAAATTGTAACCTTGATAGGGAAGAGAGGGATTGTTTCTTTTATTGAGTTTATTGATTGTTTGAATCTTTTGTTATGAATGTTGTTGCGAGGTTGGACTGGTTGAAATACATTTTGATTTCCAAAATGTTAATCCTATTAGTCTACTTTAGATCATATGAATTCAAAATAATGCACATGTAATAATAAATCAAGGGAAAGGTTATCAGACAAACCCTAAATGGTCAAAATAATGTTCTAGGATACTGCATGAGAAACTAAAGCATTGGATGTCAAAACTTATTTTTTTTAAATATTTCTATAAATATAAAAAAAAAATAGTTGGGCTCTACAAGTACATACCTACCCTAAATCTATATAAAAATATATTTTCAACAAGTAATTAATTTAGGATTCCCTCATCTTCTGGTGTTTGCCGCTTAAGTTAATTTAAATGCTCATATTATTTGTTCATTAAGAATTACATGATATAAGGCTATTTATATAATTTGTTAGCAATCTTTTAACAATACATTAATAAACAAATAAAGCTTTCCTAAACTAAAAGGTATAAAAAAAAAGAAAAAGTACTAAATAGGTCATCAAATAATAATTGCATGCTAATCAACCATACTAAATCATCAAACATGGTTGGCGGGAGATTTTTGTGTGTTGCCACAAACCATAGAACGTTTGGAAGACTTCTATCTAGATGACCAAACAACATTTTTAGAAGAAAATATTACCTTAGAAATGGGTCTGATCACTCAGATGATGAAAATCCTCGTAAGTCTGCAGAACCATGGTTTTTCCCTTATCTTACGAGTGTAAGATAAGGTTTAGTTTAATTTTGGGTTCCCTTTCCCTATAAGGACAATCCCTCATAGTTAAGTACAACTCTAGAACTTTAAGCCCTAAAGAAAATTTTTGATTAATGCGATAAGTCAAAATATCAGAGGTCGAACTTTCATGATTGTAGTGGTTAAAAAAAGTTGAGGATAAATGGTCAAAATAATGTTCTAGGATACTGCATGATAAACTAAAGCATTGGATGTCAAAACTTAATTTTTTTTAAATATTTCTATAAATATAAAAAAAATAATCTATATTAAAATATATTTTCAACAAGTAATTAATTTAGGATTCCCTCATCTTCTGGTGTTTGCCGCCTAAGTTAATTTGAATGCTCATATTATTTGTTCATTATGAATTACAGGACATATAAGGCTATTTATATAATTTGTTAGCAATCTTTTAATAATACTTTAATAAGCAAATAAAGCTTTCCTAAACTAAAAAGTGTAATAAAAAAAAGAAAAGTACTAAATAGTTCATCAAAATATAACCAAACATATAAATGAAAAATAAATAACTCATTACATTTAAATAATTATTTAGAAATGAATGCCAAAGCTGATATTTTCATATTTCTTTAAGCACGACCTACCGTTTAGAAAATTTAAATGCCACATACTTTAGTTGTATGTTTAGTGCCTCAGAGATGAAAATATCTCCATCATAGATACAAATAAGCACAAATAATAATTGCATGCTAATCAACCATACTAAATCATCAAACATGGTTGGCGGGAGATTTTTGTGTGTTGCCACAAACCATAAAACGTTTGGAAGACTTCTATCTAGATGACCAGACAACATTTTGAGAAGAAAATATTACCTTAGAAATGGGTCTGATCGCTCAGATGATGAAAATTCTCGTCAGTCTGCGGAACCATGGTTTTTCCCCTTATCTTACGGGTGTAAGATAAGGTTTAGTTTAATTCTGGGTTCCCTTTCCCTATAAGGACAATCCCTCATAGTTAAGTACAACTCTAGAACTTTAAGCCCTAAAGAAAATTCTCGATTAATTCAATGAGTCAAAACATCAGAGGCCGAACTTTCACGATTGTAGTGGTTAAAAAAAGTAGATGTTTTAAATGGGAAGAATTAAGCTCAAATTGATAGGTCTTACATTCCAATGACAATGTGTCATGGAAAGGCCCAAATGTGGGGATCAATAGTCCAAGAGGAAGTCTATACCCAAAGAATGATGTTTGAAGAGTTTACAAATGACTGATAATAAATTTAACTTGATCAGGTAAGGTCAAAAGATGATTCAAGAATACTATATTTGACTAACAAAAATTGTTGGAATCCTTAAGCTAAGGATAGAGTCGGTAAGAAGGATTTCTAGATGAGAAGTGAAACCCTAGACTCTATAGGTAGATATAAGGGGTGGATTAACCTACACTTTGGCAATAATGTCCCCAGTCAGGATGCTCATGTCTTTTTGTCCTCCCAAGAATATTGGTATTCGTTAGCTATAACCAACTTTATAACCAAAAATCCTCCTTAAACGTTGTAGCATAAAGGATTCGTAGTTTTGAAGTGGTTTAAAATATATTCATTAGCAACCATGAGTTACATCATTCTAAGGTATTCCCGGGTAGGTTTGTTGTTTCTATGTCTTAGTTCTTAGCACTAACTAGGCTACCTATCAAACTAACTTAGGTTTTTATACTCAAACTAACCCGGGGTAAGTGCATGATCCTCAATTTGATGTGTAAGTTAGTTAATCAATGATTCATGTCAGATCTACCAAGGTTTCGTTCTCGTTCTTTATCTTAGTGTATTTTAAATATTATTTGAGATTCAATATTTAATTCAATTCTTGTTTCAGTTCTAGGTTCATCAATCATGTTCAGAAATCAAAGTAATCTTAAGTTTTGAGTTTATTTCAAGATTTTATTTTGATGTTTGTGGAGAAACCATCATGTGAGAGGTGTTCATCTTTCTTTTTAGTTTATATATTTTTTTGTTATTTTTGTTTTGTATTTGAAGACTACACATGGAATGAAACATGAAATAACATATGAAACAGAGCAAATAACATATATTTAGCGTTGGATTAGACTTGGGTTAGGATTGAGCTAAGGTGTGATATAGGTCAGCTGGTTTGGAATCCAGCTCGACTTGTTAAATTGAGTTAACATGGGTTGATCTAGGTTAGCCTGACGTAACTTAAGTTGACTTAGGGTAACTAGGTTGGACCGGGTTAGACCTGGGTTGACTTGGATTGACTTGCGTTGACTTGGGTTGGCTTAAGTTTGTGTGAAGTCGGACATGTGTTGGGTCAGGTTAAACTTGGGTTGGGGCAGGTCAAACCTAGATTGGAACATGTCAGACTTGGGTTCATGTTAGAGTTGGGGTTGGGTTAAGCCTATTGTTGGGTTAAGGTTAGGCAAGGTTAGGTTTAATGTAGGGTTAGACTGGATTTAGGTTTGAGTTAAGGTCGAGCCTAAGTGGGTTAGGGTTTAGGTTAGGTTAGGATTTAGGTTAGGGTTAAGACTATTATTGGGTTAGGTTAGGCTGGATTTTGGTTGACTTGAGCCGAGCCTAAATCCAAGCCTAATCTAAGGCTATTGAATGGGTTAACTGATCCCAAAACTACTTATATGCAACAATATAACAATAATTCTGATTATATTTTTCACTTGTTTTTCTTTATTTCACAACAAAACCAAAAACTTGATCTTGAAAAAAAATAAGAATTTAACTTTTAATTTATATACATTGGGATACTATGCAAGTATATGTATCGTTATCAAGTAATATAGGACTTTTTGATTAAGACCTGAACATCGAATCCACAGAGAAGATATGCAATATGCACTTTTTGGAAAACTTTTTATTTTTAAAAAGATAATTATTTAAACTAAAGACGTTTTCACAATAAAGAAAGTTTAAATATTTTTAGTAATTTTAATATTTTGACAAAAACTTAACAAACTTAAAAAGATAACTTGACTTTTTGTAGAAGAAAAATACTAAATATGAAAATATCTTTCTCCTTATCATGAATCAGTAATAAGTATAGGAATTCTGTTGTGGAAGTACGCATATTGTGTTATGCCAAATAGATGCAATAATATTTTTTACACTTACTAGAAATGCTATAAAGAACATTAACTAATTTAAAGTTTGAATAATTCTGAAGACCAGCTAGGCAGGGAAGATATTAGCTCTCACTCCAAAGTTCCCTCGATTCCCTCCACCTGGGGGCTAACATCTCGTATTAGAACCTAAAACAATAAACCAAGTTGGGGGCTTTAACATGTCACTTTAAAGTCCTCTAACTCTACACCCTTCAATGAATATTTCTCTATTGATTTGCACTCAATCATATGAACAACATTATCATTCATACAACTTCATGTGATTCTTTTCAGTTTTTGACTGAGACAATATCAGCCCGGTTCTTACATGTTCTCACAATAAATTTTAACATCTGGATTGATCAAATCAAGAAGTAAATGAAGTAAA